TGCTTGCTCCAGTAATTAGCGAACTTGCTGGTGAAATGAATGGTAAATTGCGTTTTGGAAAAATAGATATTGATCAAAACACTAAAGCGGCCAGTGAATTTCAGGTTACATCGATTCCAACAGTGATTATTTATAAAAATGGACAGGAAGCTAGTCGTGTAGTTGGTCTAAAAGATAAAGAGGCTCTTAAACAGGTTGTTGAATCAGTTCTTTAAAGCCAACCTGCCGCCAGGCTTCGTATATCCCGATGCTGACAGCGTTTGATAAATTCAAACAACGTTGTTTTGCTAGCATCGGGATCTTAATTAACTTTTCTTGATACTTCCTCATAACTTCAATAGGCAATCCTGAGGTTTCCGAACCAAAAATCAGGATGCTATTTTTACTATAGGTTCTGTCAGTATGCCATTGAGTGGCTTTCGATGAAAAAAAACAAAAGTCATCGTTTTCTTCTAAAATTTCTTCTAAAGAATCAACGACTGAGATTTTCACTTCATCCCAGTAATCAAGGCCCGCTCTTTTTAATTTGCGATCGGACAATTCAAAACCGAGTGGTTTAACCAAAATCAATTCGGCTCCTGTTACACTACAAGTTCTGATGATATTGCCAGTGTTTTGAGGAATTTGAGGGTTGTAAAGCACAATTTTCATAGCTGCATAAGAAAGAAAAAGCTCTACGTTGGGTAGAGCCTTTTCCTATTAAAATTTAATTGATATAGACTAACGAGCTGCAGTCGATTTCTCAGTTTTTTCAGGAGAATGGTCTGCAATTTCTGCGGAATCTTTATCGATTGAAGGCGTTTTAGTAAGGGCTTCAACTTCTTCATTTTGAACATTAGCTTTTACGACTTCAATTTCAAATTCAAGGAGAGAGCTCGGAGGTAAAAATCCTGAATCTCCATAGCCTAGCTCAGGATGAATATAAAGTTTCCTCTTTTCACCTTCATGCATTCCAACAATCCCTTTGCTGAAACCTGCTATAGTATCATCAAGAGAAATAGACTCTTCTTCTTTTGATTCACCAAAGACTTTTCCGTCGATGAATTTGCCAACGTATTTAATCAGGGGAGTGTCACCTTCTTTAACTTTCGAGCCTTTCCCTTCAGCCAACACTTGTACTGAAGTTGC